CTCCTACCATCATTGGAACACTTTGGCCTTGAATTTCCACATCTGCTCTCGTTCTTCTTCAGGCCCTGGTATTCCTCCAGCTTCTCATACTCCTTCTTCCTGATTCTCCTGTCACTTAACACTGCTACCTCTATCACTGCCACTGTCTTCTGGTCCTTATCTACTACCACGATGCCTGGTGATTGGCCAGTACCTGCCTGTCTGCCTGTATCTGGAAACCCCAAAGGATCTTAGCACAATCTCAAAGGTGTTTTTTCAAAAGCCAACTAGACTTTGTTTTTCCGTGAAGACATTTAGCTTCTCATCCAAGAAAAGAAGGACTGGGTGACATGATAGCAGGGTTCCGATATCTCAGGGGTTGGCACAGAGAAGAGGGAGTCAAGCTATTCTCCAAAGCACCTGAGGACAGGACAAGAAGCAATGGGTGGAAACTAATCAAGGAGAGAAGCAACCTAGAACGGAGGAGAAATTTCCTGATGGTTAGAACAATTAACCAGTGGAATAACTTGCCTCCAGAAGTTGTGAATTCTCCAACACTAGAAGTTTTTAAGAAGAGGTTGGATGCCTATTAGTCTGAAATGGTATAGAGTTTCCTGCCTGAGCAGGGGGTTAGACTAGAAGACCTCCAAAGTCTCTTCCAACTCTGTTCTGTTGTTCTATTCTGTTCTATCTTCTTCAGTTCAGTTCAGAACGTCTTCAAGGGGAAAACAGAAAGTCCAGTTCCCTTTTGAAAAAGTACCTTTGGGACAGCCATGACCTGGATGACTGGAGAATCTCCTTAGATATTCCCCACAATGCTTTGTGGGATCTCCTATCTAGACTTAGATCTTAGTCCATATTCTATGGCTAGGTCATTTAATCTATTCTGGAAGCAACCTTGTACAATTGTCTAGGATGATTTATCTATGAATGAAAATAGAGTACATTCACCCAAAAAACGTGCAAGCCCTCTCAACAGAAATGAAAAAGTGGCATGTTGAAGATTTTTCTACTTCAGCACCATGGACAGCGGGAGGCCAAGAAATGCTTTAAAAATGAAGCACGCACCAATATCAATCACATCGTAACACTGCTCTCAAAATCCCCACTGATTTCAAAAAGTTTATGGAATAATAAACTGTCGGAGAGGTGAGACTTAATGTGAAATCCTCACAGAACTAATGTTATTGTTGTTTGTGTTCAGGGCAGTATCATCAATAGGAACGTCCCTTTGAAGTGAGAAAGAAAAGCGTATTGATCAGAAAGCATACATTTCAGAATTTCTCTAGAGTTGGACTCAGCTTCAAATCCTGAGTTTCTGAGCAAGAAATGCAAGCATAAAAACTAGGGCTCTGGATTCAAAAGGATAAAACTACTTAGAATCATACAGGGAGCACACAACTATCAGCAACATTTTAAGCCAAACACAGAGGGAAACTGCACGATGCTGAGAGAAGACAAAGCTGCTCTAGAAAACTACTGCTTTACTCCCATGTGTACATTTATTTACTACATTTACTACCATACTGTGTTGATCTCAAATTTAAAATTCAGACCTAATAGATAAATAGACTGCCACATGCACAATGTTCACACTTACCGAAGAGAACTGTTAAAATTGTAAATATTTTAAAAGGAAACTCTGCATAGAAATACAGTGTCTTAAAGCCTATTAACTTCTTGGATCAAAACAGACAATTTATCCAGTGTTACACACCGAGGTAAAAGAATGCATTGTTGCGCATAGCTATAGCTACTATAGTTGTGCACATAAATGCTACTATTTATTTCTATCACAAGTCTCAGATCCAACTTTTCTCAGTGGTTAGATCCACTCCACATAGGTAAGCAAGCATTCATTCGGTCTTTAGAATAAGCTCTCAAAAGCCGCTTGCTCTTTGTTGTATAGCAATGTAGTAAATAGAAACAAACTGAATCTATACAAGACTACTAAATTTAGGCAAACACAGAACATTTCCATAATATCCTTTTGTGCAGGGAAGAATATATTCATGATATGAATGATATTTAATGCTCAAAATAATGTAATTTATTTTTACCTTAGTGTAATGGGTAACGGATCAAAGAAAAAAAAAACCAACCAAGGTAATCAAAATAGAGAGGATGGGAAAGCACATTAGAAAATGCCAAATTATATTATGGCATAACATTACAACTGACCTAGGTCATTGCAAACTGTAGATTTAATACTCACTTGTAGGCATAGCATTTTAATCACATTTAATGATATAAATTTACCAAAGGATGCTTCTCATCCTACTTATATAAAGCATTCAATTATACAGACTGCAAATCCTTGGTAATATGGGAATAATTTCCATATATTTCACAGATTCTAATCAAAAAAATTCATTACTTTTGGAGTTGGGGAGCTTTATTTTCTGCATGTATCACAATAATATGCATAATTCAGTATCAATACTCTGATAGAAAATAATTATAGCCACTTTCTCCTACTAACAGGGAAATGTATTTCCAATATATATGAATCAGCCACTGCACATAAAAGAATTTTGAACGAGCTTTGAATTGCTGAGTAAGAGCATTAAATAATCTGGTTTTAAGCATGTTAATTTTACATGATTCTCCAACTAAAAATTTATATCCTCATTCAAAAGCTATAAATTACTTAAATTACTTAAATAATCCCCTTTTTTTGCTCACTGAAATAATTTAAATTGCTTTACTTAAATCATTCCATGTTGATGATAATAAGAATCACTTCTAGGCAAACAAGCACGAATTAAATTGTACTGTAAATGAAAAGAGATGAGTTTCTGAAATGTTAATCTAGCCACAAATGAAAGTACTTATTGGGGGAAACAGGTTGCCTAGCAAAAAGAATATGTTTATGCTGCTAGAGTTTTCTTCAAGCAAGTCCTTTTTCTCTCATAATGTTTGGATTTACTTTAAAATAAATCATAAAACAGATGTATAGTGTGGTCTACTAAGACATCATCTCTTTTCATTTACAGT